GGCTGTTTGCCGGCCAAACTATTTTCCAATTATGCACAGCTTCCGCTGCTGGACACACACCTTTACCTTTGTCATAGCCCCGTAATCTTGCCCACATCAAAGTCGTGGGGTTTGCGGGCTGTCCAAAGTGTCAGCAGGATATCATCTCCAGCAGTTGGTTTGCACCGAACGGCCAGCGGTGGTGGCTCCTCAAGTGCGATGGAATTGGGCGTGTAAAGTGGGTGGTGCGATGGAGAATAGGAGCAGAAGGGGGCTTATAATGCGTGTCGATAATATTGACAGGGTGTAATTTTGATTGCCACGCCCACTCCCTTAATCAAGAGTGCCTGTGGAATCTGTCGTGTGACTAATTGCCGCTTAACGACCAATCTGTCCGAAGGAGTCTTGATCTCTGCCTGGACATTCGGGCAATTTGCAAGCACCTAATAAATGCCAGCAGCTCCGATTACCTTATTCATTTCTGATGGGTTCCTGCACAAGTAAACTTTTTCTCTATCTAAAAATAAACTGGCAGCTGCCAGTACTTTGACCTGGTTCAACCTTAAAGGCATGTGCAAATTGTATGAGAAAAACCGGTGGTATTTAAGTTTGCATGTTAGGTAAACATTGTGGAAAACAACTTGAGAACACGGCACCTTAAAGCAACCTTTGTTTGCCGGCCCGCCCTGCTTCAATCGGGATTAGGACTGGTTGTCTGCCAGCCCCCTGTGCATTTGGTTGGGAATAAAATGCACAGACACCAAATTAATTTCCTGCGGTTAGCCCCAGTGGGGAAAAGCCACAATGGCCGGACAACGCTGCGTATGTGTAATGCGTCTCATGGTGCTCGCTTACCTGGGCAATGGTTAACAATATACGGCAGAGGCGTAATTAAATTCACCCATTGTTGAGTCTTGTAGTTAGACTACGTAGTCTGTAGTCCGGGCTGAGCCGAGCTAAGCCGATTGCTATCCTCAGCCGTCTCACTCGACGGCAACACGGCGTATACGCAACGAGTTGTTGAAATAATAGCATTAGCCACCGCAGTAGTAGTTACTTTTTATGCAACATTTTAATTAACTGAAAAATCAGTGCCGAGATAAGGATAGTGCAATTTATACTTTCCCTACTCTTTCTACTTTTTATACTTTTTCTGAGTTTTCTATTAGCCACGAAAGTTGAACTTCCTTGGCCTGTGTGCAATCTATGCCAGCAATTGACAAACTTATTAAAAGTTTATCTTTATTCTTCTGTTGGCAATACATCAATACATCATCCGAAACATGGTTCATTTGCCTGGGACGAAAAGAAAACTGCGAAAAGTCACAGAACATTAACTTGAACTATGACAAACTTTTGACTTTGACAAAGATGCTAGCAACTGCAAAATCCAGCCGGCATCGCATCATCTTTCCCCCTGGAAAACCGAGAGGAGCTGTTCCGCAGGCGAGACTTTGCCAGCCAAAAGTTTTTCAAAGCTATTTTTGACTGCGGTCAACTAAACACACACAAAGTAGATGGATTTGAAGGGCCCGAGGGGGCGGAGGCAAGGGGGAAAAGGAGAGGAGGGGAAACCCCAAACAAAACTGTCGCCAAAGACGAACTTCATCTTGATGCGGTCGGATTCAATTAGATGTTGCCAGACCGAAACCGAAAAGGAAATCTTAACCGAGACCCGGGCTCAATTCGAAATTTAAACTTGTTCTTGGGCGGCAAGGCGATATGGATTTAGAATTTCTAAGGAATACCCTTGCAGGCTTAAAAACTTAAGAATCAGTAGTTTAAGGTAAAGATTTTGTTTTTAAAAATGTTAAAAATAGTCCATTGTTTAAACAATTTTTTGTTTGGTATATCAATATAAATGTTAAATAGGAATTTATAGTTGAAGTACTTCTAAATATAGAAAACGTAAGATTTTTCAGACAGTAAAATTTAATCTATAAGCTCCCATAACTTGGGTTAAAATAATATGTAAATATATTTATTTTTACCTACGTTGGGACTCCAATTATTTGTATACCCCCTGCAAGAGTAAGACGCAGCACTTGGAAAATAAAACCCAAGTTGGTTTTGATTAGAGGGCGTTTCTGGCCCCGTGAACCGGGGAGGACTGACTTAGACATCGGCCAGTTTAGTGTAGGAAGAAGGAAAAACGCCCAAATTACATCCTCGGCAGCGTGGCGACGGCTACTGTGCACTTTGCATTTTGCACATTTGCATTTGCATGGCCGGTGCCACAAACTGGCCGGCCGGAGGCGACTCCACCAACATCCACATCGAGATCCCCGTCCACATCAACATCAACATCGACGTGGCCGTCGTGGCGCATTATTAAAGATGCATAGCTTGAAATATTCAATCAAGTCGAAGGGGATATACGAGGGGAGCTGCGGGGGCGGATATAGAGCCACAAAATTGGCAGCGCCATCGTCGGTGTGTTGATTTATGCAACATTGACGTTGACGCTGCAAAGTCACATTTGGCCGTTGGTCGAAAGCTGTTTGGGCCGGGCTCTAACTCTCCGCTTCGGTTCGGTTCGGTTCGGTTTGGTTTGGTTTGGTCTCCAGTCTGGTCCGGTCTGGTTTTGGGCCACATAAGCAAATATTTTGCGGCTACCATGCTTGCTTCTATATTGTGTATAGCTCACACACACACACACACACACTGTGTCTATACCTCCTGCAGGCATTCAATTATATTGCATGTTGTATGTTGAACACGGCTCGCCCAGGAGCCCAAGTCGAATGGCTATTTCCAGTCAGTCACACGCCACAAGGAGAAGGACTGAACACTGAACACTGAACACTGAAGACTTCCTCCCGAATGTCACCATGTGTGTGTGTGCCAGTTAATTTGTTATTCAAATTTGTGTGTTATATATTGTTATTACAATGAAAATTGTTGCTGCTCGCAGTCAGGCGGAGCAGTCCACTTCTTCTGGCCGATGGGCAAAGCAAAGGTTACGGCGTCTTGGCCAGGGTCAATAGTTTCGGCTGGCATTGAGGTGGCTTCCCTCCGCAGAACATCGATTCGATTCCGAGCTGAATAATTCATCATTCCTCTTGGCAGTGTCTATTATTAAGTTGATCATTTTGTTGACGTTCTGTTAGTTTATGTATAAGAGGTATCTGCAAGATATATATATTTTTAAATATTTAACTAGAATTCGATTTCTTTATGATAGTTAAAAATTATCATAATTTCCATTAATTAATGTAGTCATATATTATTTTCTAATCAGCAAACTATTTATTCTACTTAATAGCCGTTTTATATATTATTTTCAATGATCACCCATTTATATGGCTTAAATGATTTGTTTGAAACTAACCACTTCTGCTGAACAACGCTGGATTAATGCTTATCTTAATTCATTTGTCATGCGTTAACGTAACAATCGAACCCATTAATTAGCTCCACATGCCAGTGGAGCCCAACTCCCCTTTGTGCCATTCATTCACCTTGACACCTGGGGAAAAAAAAAGAGAACGACGGAGTGGAAACCCTAGAAAAGTTTAAGGGCCAAACAACTATCAAGGATTAAGGCTTAACCGTCTGGTCAAGCGTCTGGCGGGTTTTCCCCATCTCCAGAACAGATTCACGGGGTTCTTGGGGGGATGGGGTCTGTTGGTTGTCTAGTCCGGTAAACCTCGAGGGGAATATGCGACGGCTAAGCGGATTAATTTAGTGACGTGCTGCTCAATGGGGAAACGGGCTGGGCAAATTGAAAATAGAAAGAAATCGGAGCGGGAAGCGGGGAACGTGCAACGAAATCCAATCATAATTATAGAGACCAACGCCTCGAGTCGATGAAATTTACACAACAAAAGGTGGCCGCGACATTTTCAGCTGTCAGCATTAATTAAAATGTTTCCATACATCAACCTCGGTGGAGTTCTTACACCTTTTCTCGGGCCAGAGCGGAAATGTCTTGGCGAATGGGAACCGAAAACACGACTATAAGCCAACACGGCATAAAGATGTCAAAAACCGAAAGAGTTGGGGGCCGGGAAATAACTTTCAGATCGCATGTTTCGAGAAAATCTAAAATTTATTTCTGGCCGCTCTGTCAATGCGATAATTTGTGGTGTTGCTCCTCCGATTTTTGGGCTTATTATTATTTGGCACTTTGAAATTACTTACATGCAACAGAATGAATAAGTGGTTCACAAATAATTAATGTGTTGAAATTATGTTTTTGTAACTTGTGCATAATTAAAGGAAAGAGTCTAAAAACTGCCTGATGGAAATAGTTTCATACATTTGCCATTTATTATTCAACAAAAACCGACTGGCATTAAACATTAAAGTTGCATTTGCACCGAAGTGCAAAAGCCAAATACTTACTTCTGCATTTGTTCGGGGGGCGGATGGCGTGTCAAGTGTTGGACAGGTTAAGCGACGAATCGAGACTCCTGTCAATAAATAATTGAAAATCAGAGCCATCGGCAGCATTGTTGGCCATTGTTTTTTTTTTGTCAACGTCTCTTTTCGGTGGTAATTAAAAAAGTTTTTTCCCCAAACTGAAAAATAGATGGGAAAGGCCAATTGAGCGGGTCGCTTTCCTTTTTTTTAGAGCGGCTAATTGTCATGCAGAGAAGTGGCACGAGGAACATTTTCCCGGGCTGACGTAATTAAAAAGCCGTCAAGCGAAGTTGGCGCAGTTAGCGCTAAATGTCCAATTGATGCACAGACTCTGAAGCTTTAGTGCTCCTTTCTCATCCCGCCTGCAGCTCTCTAATTAAATAAGCCAGTGTCACATTTGTCTTGAGTGTCCGACAATTTGGTGACTTATGATGACTGCAGAGCAGAACGCTTTTCGACCCTGCACTCAACCAGAAGCGTTGGGCAAGTGGAGAAGTGGAGAAAGATTTATGAGGTAAAAGCAATTAGAAAGTGGCATTAACAACCGAATGCAGAGGGCAGAACAATTAATAACGACTACGAACTGCAGAAGTAGCCGAAGGCATGGATAAACTAAAGTACGTAACCATTTTGAAGAAGTCTTTGTACAAGATTTATTTGGAAGTTAATTCTTTTAAAATTTTTATTGATTTAAGGAACTATTTAAGTTTTAATCGGAACACTTGAAATTTTTCCATCTGACTAGCATAGAGTCTGTTCTTTTACTTCATCCAGTTTAACCATGGATTCCTTTTCAACTTGCTTCAGAACACCAGTCAGAATCTCAACCTCGTTTTTAATGGAATCCAACATTTTTCCCAATTCAAGGCGAGCAGAGGTGAAAGGTATATCTAGAAAATATTAAATAAATTTGATAATGTATTATATATAATATAAGTAAGTCAGTATAATAATTTTGGGGATCACCTCGTCGCCGACAAAGAATCCGGTGAAGATTGCTAATCGCATCTATAGTTCGCTCCTTATTCATATAACTATTGCTTATTTCATCCTTGGTGTCGGCCAGGATCTTCTCCCACCTTAGACACTGAACCCTGGACTCATTGTAGGAGCGTTCGAGCCTGGCCAAATCGTTTTTTAGGCCCAACACAGTCAGAGCCGCTTCATTTGTAATTTGCACCATACGCTGCCGCATATTCTCAATTTCGACCAGTTTTTCATGCTCTAGTTTGTTGATCTCCACTTGGGCAAGCACTGTATAAATGGGAGAAGGGATCAATTAAAAAAGATAATTACATCTCATAAATAAATAATAAATAATCTATGTTTTAAATATGTTTTAGTTATCATAAAAGTCTTACTCAAAGCATCGCAGCGGTCCATGCAATCCTTTGGAGATACAAATATGTCTGATACCTTAACCACATCGTCGAGCACCTTCTCGTAAGGCTGGAACTCCTTGACGGTGGCCTTGAGAGCCTCCCGAAAATCCTTAAGTTCTCCGATCGAATCCTTGAAGTTCTCAATGCCATCGCCGAGTTCCTTGTGGTAGAGCGTCTCCATGTGAACGGTTTTCTCAGCGATTCGCTTCTTATCCGCACAATCCTTGATGAAGCTGTTAACCTCGATGAAACGTCGCCTCAGTCGCTCCTGAATCTTGTACATGTTCCGCACCCTGGAGGAGTTCACCTTGCTCTGCCGCTTGGCACTGGCCAGCATCTCGTCCTGCAATTTGAGCATGGCATCGTGCTCACGAAGATTGTTCACGAAAATCAACTCGATGGAATCGCCAGCGGAGTCCGAGTTGGGTGGAATGCTATAAAAATAAATTTATAATTATAAATTATATATAGTTATAAATATAATTAGCTCTATTCCTCGTTTAATGAAAATTTAAGTGCCAGATTTTTTTCAATTAAGATTTAGAGAGAAAAACCCACACATATAGATGGTGTACCTATAGCATTTTATTTACCAAAAGTCGAAACTGGATTACCTACTCACACAAAGAACTTATTCTGCTGCTTTGAGCAGATAAAATCGCCAACTGCTTCCTCGGGACGAAGGTCCAGATTCCCCAGGACATCGAGCTTCTTGGTGGGCTTCACTCGCGGCATCTTGGATCCCTTGGCCGAAAACAAAAGCTTCAAGTGTGAGTTTGGTTTAGTTTTTTATTCTTTTTCGTTTGGTTTCTGTTTTCGTGTAGCTGTTGGTGCTTTGTGTTTACTTCCCGGAATGTGTTATTGTTTTGTAATAAAAATTAACAAGACCTACTTGGAACATGATTTTTATTTGGGTGACACAAAAAAACATTGGTTGCCAGGAGCTTCTCCAATTACCCTGGCAATGGCTAACCAAAGAAGGTAAAACCAGTTTGCTGTTATGGCAACTCCATTGAACTTGGTTTTTCATATTCATGCGTACATTTTTATGAATGACCTCTTTTAGGAGCATTGAGATTTGTATGTAGAAAGTTGATTTTATTATTCAAAATGAAATTTTTTGCTTAAGCATTGACTTTGCTGTCTGCTGTCGGACTTTCAGTAAAACCCCAAAACCCGACAACACAACATCGTCCTACAAATATTGCTGAATATTTAACTCCTAACATATATTTAAAGAAATAGTTAGCCAAGATGCCGCGCTATAAGCCCACCTTTAAAACTGATGTGATCGGCAATTTGGACCTCAACCCGGAGGTGGCCGTCGATGATATTCGCGTTTCTCGTCAGCAGGATCAGTTCTTCGTGTAAGCTTGTTAAAATATAAAAACATCATAATGTGTCCAACTATTGATGTTAACCAGTAAGCCACCAAACTGGGATTCCGCTGGGGATACCATTGAAATGCTTTATATAGCCAATCTGAGAGAATACGATGCCATGAAACAGGTGCAAAGGCAATTGCTAAAGGACGCCAAACGCCAAACGGCGTTGAATGTGCAGCGCATTCGCAAGATGTACAAAATTCAAGAGCGCCTGCGCAAACGATTTGTGGAGGTCAATGGGTTCATCAAGGATTGTGCGGATAAGAAACGCAGTGCCGATAAGTCCATTCGAGAGGAGTCGGTTCTCCACGTGGAGGTTCTCAAGGAAATAAACGAGTTCAAGACCTCTATTGCAGAGTTGAGTACTTTTCGTAATGCTTTGAAAGCCACGGTGGCACAATTTCAACCCTACGAAAGAGTTCTGGAGGAAGTGGTCCAGGTATCAGATATTTTTGTATCCTCTAAGGACTGCATCGATCGGTGCGATGCTTTGAGTAAGTCTATTTTACTTTTTCTAAGTGTAATTGTGTAATGTCTCCTCAAAAGTGCTGGCCCAAGTGGAAATCAACAAGCTGAAGAGCGAAAAACTCCACGAAATCGAAGAAATGCGCAAGCGAATGGTGGCTATTACCAGTGAAGCGGCCTTAACCGTTCTGGGTCTTAAAAACGATCTGGCCCGCTTGGACCGATCCTATGTGAACTCGCGAGCCACTTGCCTCAAATGGGAAAAGATATTAAGCGCCTGCAAGGACACCACTTCAAACTACAATCTCGACAAGGATCGCATGTTCGATGGCATTCAGATTCTCTATCGCATGCTTTGCAAGCGTCGCGGTAAGTTCTCAAAATCGTTTAACCTTTATAGATGTATAACCCTGTTCTTTTCAGACATTGTTCCTAGCTATCACAGCTATGAGATCGATAAGATCTTGACGTTTTCCATGCGTGAAATAAGTCTTCTGTCTTCGGTTATTCAAGAATTGGAGTCCACAAAAGGCGATAAAGTTGGCGGAGGACGCTTGTGTTAAACGGAAAGGGAACATTTTTAAAGTATTACTTAAAGTAATACCAAATTTTTTATGGACGCTTATAACTGAACATTCGCAAGAAAAAAAATGTTTTATGTTTTTAGCCAATAAATGGGTTTTTTTGCCATAATAAAAGAAATAATGGTCAAAATATGCAATGTCATACCTAGACAAACTCGTAATAAAATTTCCAATCGATTGGCATTCAAACCTAAAGAATTTGATTTTTGTTCAATTTTCGCAAAAAATTATTACCAAAAAGGCAAAAATTGGGAAAGAAAGTTTTTTTTAACTAACTAAAAAGTTATAATTATCGTTAAATTAGGTAATCCGCTATATAAAAATGTTATTAAAACAAGTCTGGGACTCTTTTTGATCCAAATATAGTGAAATAAATAAAGGTTAAAGTAGAAAAGGGTTATAAAACATTAAACCTAAAATTAAATTGTTGCGAATAAAATGTATGACTTGAAAGGTTCTATCAGGCACCCAATGTCCCCACATCGACAACAACAACTTTAATGCGATCCCCACCTTCTGCCTTATGGCTCCCACAACAATTGTCTAACCCTAAAACCTTGCCAGCCCCCAAAAAAACCCGCAACATACGAATGAGCTTTGTTGTTGGCTAAGCCCAAAAGAAAATCAAATGAAATTCGATAAAAAGAAAATGCATTCGAAGACAGAGATACCGAAGGCTGGGCAACTTTCAAGTGGCACTCGAACTTCAAATCGGGGAGGGGCGAACCGATGGGCAGGAAAATAAAGTTGGCAAATCGAATCTGCGACATCTTTCCATTCAATTGCCAATTGGATTCTATGGCCCAGGGATAATCTAACTTAAGCACAGATAATTCTTTTATGCGAACATTTTGATTTCTGCCCTCGCATTTACAACATCGTTGGCCGACTGGAACTAGCAACTAATTTTCTACCAAAGAGCCGTTGCCACGCCCCCCGCCCATCGAACGCCCACTCCGGATAGGAAGTTGATGCGCCAGCGGAGGCGTGGCACTTGTCTCTTATTCAATTTGCTTTATTTGATTTGCGATTTTTGCTGATATCAGCTGGAAAAGAAACTCCCGGCAGGACAGTCGCAGATAGTAGACCTAGGCCAAAAATCAAATCAAATGGAAAGCAAAATAAAATGCAGGACATTTATTTTGTACCAAAAAAAAAGCAAAAAGAAAAAACAGTGGAAAAGATGGGGCAAAAGAAATCAAAGTAGTTGGGTAAAGTAAACATTTGGTTTATTTAAATGGACCGTATGGACGTCCCACAAGTTGTCCTCGCTCCCGGCGGAATTTTATATTTCGGCTTCGGCTTTTGAGGTCCTCCAGCAACATCGATAGCAATTACATTAAATTGTTCATCGGAACGGCTGGCTCGCTCTTAGGCAAATCATGTAAACACTTAAGATTTGTTGCCTGTCATTTAAATAATTGAAAAACTCATTCCCCTCTCCTTTTGGTTCGGGGCAAGATTGAAGTGCTTCGGAGTTAAAATGAATCTTTTAGAGAAATAAGCAGCTACCTACGAATTTATTCATCCGCGTTCCCATCGCATTGTGTCCTGTCCGTATGGACAATAAAGCCTAATGGCATTCTCAGCTAATCCCTTAATTGCGTTACAATTAACCGTCTGCGAATTAAATAATATTGCCAGCAATGCGGTGTAGGTGAAACGAGGCCAGGCAAATTGCGTGGGTGGTTTCAAAATTTGGTTGCGAGAGTTCTAGTTTTAAATTGGAGCTTTGTAATTAATGCAAACTGTTTTTGGCACTTGTTGTATTCAACTTTCAAAATTCGTTTAGCCACTGGAGTTGTTGAGTACTTTGTGAATAGGATTTTAGGCGTAAAATGTGCAAAAAGTAATTGGATAACTATTTTTGGGATCAAATAATTGTAGAACTTTTTTTAGGGAAAAACATTTGTTAGCAACGAATTGTAGAAGAAATTGTATACAATTTAATTTGAATAAAATATTTCTTATTTTTAAATTGCAATATTTTCTGTATGGACCAAACTAACATTCCGTTTGCATTTATCTCTCAACTTTAAATATCTTTATCTAGTCGGACTGAAAACTGCCTTTCCACCTCCGCAATTATCCCTTTCGAAAGTTGTGCAGCTTCTTGGCGCTTTTGCTGCCATTTGCTTTTTTCCTGCTTACTAGACGAAACACTTAATTTAACTTTACAAGTTCTTAATGTGACGGCCAGACAGAAAGTTGGGCGACAGTGGGCTGGCCACTTGTATGGGACACTGGCGACAAATAGCAATTAGAGAAACAATGGCCAGCAAAACGATTGCAAGGCCAAAAGGAGGCAGACAAAATAGGCGCAATTAAAGGACACTTTCCGAAGACAGCTTAAAGTCGGTTTAAAGTCGCACGATCCCATCCTGTAGGTAGGTGCAATAAATGTCAAGCGATTATCCCGACAACAATGGCAGGCTCGGCAATCAGAAGAGCAACCAGAAGCCGGCAGCTTGATTAATACTATAACACATGATTTATTATGCCTGTCAATCGGCGAAGGGGAAGCCCATTATGAAAGCTCGCTTCAGAGATTGAAATCGGAATCGGAATCGTTCCTGGGAGTCGGAGACGGAGTTTGGCTGGGATTTGCTGGCGGAGTCGTCGAGCGACGGGACCCGTGATAAGATGGCAAATCGGCTTATGCCCTGGGACAACAACAATCGGCATCATCAATTCACTTGGCGACATTAATATCCTCCATTGCCAAGGGACGGATCCAAAAGCTGTCGTCTGACATTTGTGACACCTGCATTGATTTGTCTTCCTTTTTTGTATCCCTTTACCGTGCAGTCGAAGGGTATGCTGAACCATGAGTTAAAAGCAACAGGCAAAAGTATAATTGTTCTGAACAGATAAATTAATCATTTTATGAAGAGTAAGCAGATACGCGGGCATTTAAATATTTCTTATACTTACTGCATAGAAAACATTAAATCTACCATTTAAAGGCATGTCATAGGTACCAATATATGAAATTAAATATCCAAATCCATTCCAAAAAATAATCTAACAACTTAAATAAACGAATTAAATGTGAATCACTTTTAAAATATTTTTGAGAATCTATCTTTCATTGTATATCATTTGGTTAATATACGAAAGTGAAACTTTTTTAAGAGGGTACATTATATTCGATCCTTTGCATCCTTTACTTTATTGTGTCATTGGACTTGGGGAACGGATATGAATGCCACCTGCCGCCCCCCCGTTCGCTTGACTGAGTACCTTTCATGTCTTACAAATGCCTTTTTTATGCGCTAATGTTTCTGCGGCTTCTGGCAACTTTAACTTGCCGGAAAACGGAAAACCACCCACCGCCCCCTCAATGAGAGCCATTAAGGCCGGGCTCTAATGGCCCGACGACAAGGAGCTGCAATTAGAGCACACTCAGGCTGGAAGTCAACTACCCGAAAGAGATGAGGCCGAAGGACCTTTCCTACCTCGCCTAGTTGATAATTTATTCATTTGCCGGCTGGAACGACAACATTTATGGACCTCTGTGCTTGCCGAAAGTTAACCACACACATGCCAAGGCGGAAAAACCTGAGAACTACCAACCCTTAATGGCTTCATTAGAGAGCCTTTCTCTGCAATGGAAAAACAGCCTCCCCTGCGAAGACTTCGAGTCGATTTGGATTGAGAATTTTTAATTTAACTCGATTGGGCGTCAAAATCAACGGCTTAAATAGTTGTGCAAAATATGGGTGTTAAACATCTGCGGCATTGTTCCTTAAGTCCCTAGCCGACATCATTGTTATCAGAGCCCCTCGGCTTAACAATTTTCCAGCCCATTGTTCGACTTTAAAGACTCTCGGCACAACTGTTGGTAAATTGAAAACGGATGCGGAATTGGAATTGGAATTGTAAATTTAACACTTATCCAAGCGGCATTTGTTCGCTTTTTATTGGGCCGAATTGTGCTCGGCATATGTCCATGTGTGTTTCTGATTGTGTGCCCTCTGCTCCTTGATTACAATTTGCATAAAAATATCGTTCGGATTGAGGGCCCCGAGAATTATGTTGCACATTTATGGCCCCCGAATCGAGCCTTCAAGGAAGCGAACTCTTGTCTTTTATCGTTTTCCTTTGTTATCCGCAGGAAGGAGTCGGGGTCTTAAAGGTGGAAGCCTTCTCGAAAGGGTTTAAGATGGATGACAGCAGAAATTTATTGCGCCTAATGATTGTCAGATGTGGGTTAGGCTGCTCCGCAACCACCAGTTGGGGTGGAAAAATCCAAGGGGTTAGGAAAATTAAAATGTTATTTACAGGGGGATGTATCTTTGCTATATTTCTTTTTCCTTTTAAGCTACAAAGAGCAAACTCAGTACCTTAAGAACCTTGCGTTTTTTCCTCTTTAATTTAATTTAATTTAAAGGTTTTGTGTTTGGCAAAACTTTAACCAGCTTACACTTTTTATATCAACGCTTTAATCCACACCAAAGCTCTGAAACTCCTCACCCAAATTACTTTTTCGTTTGGTTCATTTTCACCCGAAAATACCTGTTCATCCCGCTTCCATTTACTTTGGGTGATGGGCTACAATCCTGCTAGACAGCCAGATACGTTCAACCGTCAAGCGCCACTCGAAAACCCAGGGCTCCAAGCCCAGCCAACCAACCCCCACCCACCGAGCAATCCTGCCACCATTCGTGGCGTGTAAATATTTATAAATATTGACAGCTTAAAGTGAAGTTTATAAGTGACACGAGGCAGACACCACCACCTCCCTCCCCTGCCTCGTTCGATGGCAGGAAAAAGGAAGCTTTTTAGGTAACATCAACAACAACACTTGTGGTCAAACTTGAAAGCCTCTTTGATGGTTCGCTCCTCCCGATTTCCTTGGGTTTGGGTAATGAAGTTCGCCACTCGAGGCTGTCAGAACTGCGTGCGATAGGGATGGATGGACGGACTTATAGATAGATAGATAGATGGAGGGTCGGTGACTTGGTGAAAATATTGACAAAGCAATTTGCCTGTCAGACAATTAAGTGCTTAATTGTATGAATGTGTGGGTCGGGGACTTACTCTACTAAATATATATATAAATAAATAGGAAGCAGTCTCAAGAACTCGGGGAACTCCAAGAACCGGAAGTTGCTTAGGTTTAAATCTTCTGTGTGTACACCCCCTTCTTCT